TGAGAAATAGACACTGTTAAATGTTGTCCAAATCTTTGTTATGCGTTAAAAGCAGTAAATATCTCCGCTTTTGATTTGTGTATTGATGAAAGCACTGTGCTACGACTTTTTAATTTGGCATCGTTACGGAAAGTGTGAGCGAAGAAAATACAGCCTGATATCTGAACTACATAAGTATATGTGAAATGGGGGTGTGTGTGCTTATGCATAACGTTATACGCTCAATCTTTAAAAATGACTCGCAATAAAATGTCGAAAAAGGATTTTTGTTCTATGACGTCAAAACGACGACAGAGAGGCCATACACATATAAAGATAAGGGGTCATAACTCCCACATGGTTAACACTAGGTCAATGTAACTCAGAATACTGGGAGAGAATTTGTTGTGGATATGGACGCTATATTTTCGTTATGGTTTGTTCACCATGAACCAAACTATACTAATACAAAGTTCCACAATGTGAGCGGATATGTTTTGATAGTTTCACAATTCATAAGAAAATATGACAAAGTACTACATCAGAGAAAGCACGCAATGAGTTGATTTTGGGATGGCCCCGATCTGATATATAATTTAGTTCTTAGATTCCCATATTCCTCCTGTTAGTGTAGATGTATTTTGACTAATTTTGTATCATTATTAATAGAGTACTAGCCATATCTTCAAATGTAATGAAATTACTGAAAATAATACCACTGGATGCGGAAGTATTTTTGTGACGCAGTTTCATAGGATCTCTGAAAGTGAACGTTGCCTTGGATCTACGGTCCTCCGACTATAACATTATATTCAGATGTAGAATACATTTTAGATCTGCTGACACTTGTCTAAAAGGTACGAGATTTTGTATACAACACTAACATTGTCAATTTCCTATTAAAGGTATGTTCAAACCAACTAATTATCAAACGTTCATAAATCTGTAAACCACAGTGTAAGATCTGAATTGTGATGATTTGTTTACATTTTAAACAAGTAGAGTTTGCTCCGCCTTCGTTTTTCACACCTTTATCTATATTGCTCAATTTCATATAACCACTTTGTATTGATGACAAGACCATATTGCTTTTAAAAAGCCTACCCATGTTGATTTAATATTTGGTGAAAATTGATGAACAAAGAGTTTGCCGCGGTGTTGATGCATCGCATCAAAATTTTCTTGTTGTTGCTGTACTAAAGTGTCTTCAGGACACAGTCGGCATTTTCTAAGTGAATAATTCAATACTTATATATCGCCACAAAATGTTATAAATTCATTTTCCGCCTTACTACTTATTTTGTGACAGTGTTGGCACACCTACCCACTCTAAAACACACATACCTTTCTAACATCATCCAAGCAAGGAAAGTTTAGAATATTTGCAATACGAGATTTAATTTGTATGCGTGGCTCGACTGATGTACACATGTATAAATTTACCTGCACATTTTGTGTCGTTCATACATCAGTGATGATTTTATTCTGCTCACAGTTTTTCTGACAAGCGTATAATAAAAATCTTTGTCGCATAGGGAAATTAGGGTGCATTTAAATAGCGACGATCCTTTCACTCAAATAAAACGAATATTTACGTTTACTATTATTATTTCGTGAATATTGATATCAAATATGTACAATAACAGAAAGTAAGAATTTTGAAAGAAGTTTCCAGAAAATAAGAACAATTTATATTTTCAAAGGTCTTTCAAGTGCCTGCATGACCGATTTTTTAAAACGATTTCTAAGATGCTTAGCTGTTAGAACAATCGAAAAAAAATACATTATGAGACAATAAAAAGGTCTAGTTTTTGATGACGTAACAATTGAATGACGTTATCCCGTCACTGCGCCATTCTAGTGTGCCCCTCGTAATCGAATTATTTTACATTACGTCACAATGTAAGTGACGTCACGATGCACCGTCAGTTGTCATCGCCTCGTACGGCCTCCTACAGTAAACTACTCCGTTGCATCCCGTTTCTTGCTTTTGCAGTTGCTTCACGCAGCTAACATCACCGGTGGAAACATTACGTTTATGTTTTCCGACGGTTAAAAAATGTCTCAATTCGACTCACAAGTTTTCAGCGACACGGTTAACGTTCGCAATGTTTTTATTCCCACAATGCAATCGTGGAATGTCGCTTTGACTACTCCGCTTCATCTGGATGTACTGATCTAAACTTACGTTGGTAGAAGAAATGCGACGTTGATATTCCCCATAGGTTTACGTTAATGACAGATGTAATTAAAATAATTCAGAAGATATTTAATCCGAACGTAAACCGTCATCAAACTGTTTTCATTTGTTTTTTCTGGTAACGTTCGTCTTAACGTAGGGGCGAACACATCAATAGAACAGCGCACCAGTTAGCCCCTGTGCGAGGATTCTTAATTTAGGTCACCGACACCGTCATTTGTTTTCTGCCTTAAATTAATCGTAATTATCCTTAGAAAGTATTACATTTAGCATCTTAGAAAAAGATGTAAAGTTCGTAGTTCAGGGCAAAACTATACTTTATTACAAAACACATTGGGGTAGAGCGAACTTTATTTCTTAAACAAAATGTGTTTTGGACGTCTTCCGATGAAGGACAGCGCGGCCGTCTAAAAATAGCAACCAATGGAAAATGACATAACATTGTCAATGTTGGCTTTTCGTAGGCCTTCTCAGCCATCGTCTCTTTACCGGCCTGTACCGGCTCGTATATTACGATATGCGAGACGGGGCCCAGCCAAGGGATTACATGCAGGGGTCCCCTAAGGGACGTCACTCTGTTTGGTAAACTTCTGTCACCGTGGTAACAAGGCTTGCGGAGTTGTCTCCCTTATACTGTTAAAGTATAGTCTGTCAATACACTATACCGCTCCCCCTAAGTGTTTTACGATTAAAATGTTGGTTATTCATTGAAACTATTAATAAACCTTAATTGTTATAATGCCATTGTGCATTAAAACTATTAACCGAACACGAAGTAAAGCCTACACATCTTCTAGCGTCTTTGAAAATTTCTGTAAAATAACATAACACTAATTTTAAAGTCTATTCCCTTATGAAACTTGAAACTGGAACTTTAACACCAAGAATTACAATCATTTTGCACAGCCCCATCTCAGCAGTCAAACCTCACGGGTGGACGTCGTACTCGTTGTGGGTACCGTCTCTGTGTAGCTGTAGTTGTCTCAGGTGCAACTGCTCCCGAGGCTTCGAGCTTCTCCTCCGGGCCTGTTGAATGGTCCGATCTATCTACCACTTCAGGTTCTGGAGGACTCAGGATCACTGGAAACTCAGGTAGGTCATCATGCGCTTTGGAGGGTTGTGTAAAATAAGCTTGTCGTGGACTGATTTGATCCACATGTTTCTTCCAAACCTGCTGTCCCACTGACACTTCAGCACAAACACTGCCTCACCTATATTGAAGAATCCTGCTGTCTCCTCAGTCGGATCTTCTTTCTTTCACATCAGACTTTCTTTTGATGGTCTCAATGCAGACAGTCCTGTGCGTAGTTGTCGCGGCATGAGCAACTCTGCAGCTGTGGGTTTTCCCCTGAGTAAATGCAGAAGTTTGTCAGAATGTCACTTTCTTGATTTTTCATTTTCTTCAGAGTCATCTTGACTGATTCTGCAGCAGGATTCTTCGGTGCTGTGCGAATGAGGCGAATTATTGTTCATTCTCAGGAACTCCTGGAATTCATCCGAGGTAAATTGGGTCCCCTTAACAGTCACTATGTGTTCTGGTAGTCCAAAGATAGAGAAGAGTTTTCTCAGGTGCTGTATGGTGACAGTCGCTGTGGTTGACTGAAGTGGCATGACTTCCCATCCACTTGAGTGCGCGTCGACAGCGACTAAGAATGCATGTCCTTTCAAATGGGCCGGCGAAATCAACGTGAAGTCGTGACCATGGAGAAGAAGGCCATTTCCAGCTGATAGGCGCGGGGCTGCTGAAGGCTAGTTTGCGTTCTCCTGACAGTCGACACAATCTGGTGGGTGACCATGAGTATTGTGACAGGACACATTACTTTCACAACAGCGTAGCCCTACCAGTGATGACTGCTTTCGCAAATCCAGACTTTATGACACATTTTATATTTGGGATTATTCTTTCTTAGTAAAGTACAAATTCAAGTACTAATTCGCGGCTTCCACCACGCGGTGGCTGATCGAGCAGGTTAGGCGGCTGACTTTGTGTGCAGGCGATTAGGTGCCTGACTCTGAGGGTGTTGGTTCGAATCCCGGATGGGACTCAACCAAACAAAAGTACTAGAATTTGTACTTTACTAATAAAGTGTAATCCCAAATGTAACATATGTCACATTTGACCAATTTTGTAAATGGCAGTGTGTATTCAAATCCAGATTTCAATTCTGCAAGTAACATAAAAGAAGAGAAAAAGATCTCACTTTTGTAAACAAATGTCCAATGTAATTATATGTAAACTAAGAGGAATAAGGTATACATAATTTATATTTTAAGTAATTGAAAATTGAATGAATTATTGTTAAAATGTGACTATCTTGGCTGAGTAATTTAATGTAAATATATACTGGTACAATGGAGACATGTAAAAATGAATTAGCAACCACATGACTCCTACCATACTTGAAATGTACGTTTATGGCGAAATATGTAAATATATTGATTGAAAGGTAAGGTGTCCAAGATACCTATCAGCAGTTGTGTTATGAGATTTATTTTTTCAAATATCCTTCCCGCAAACCTGCACCCCCTCTGGATCCGCCTATGGACCATTTGGCTGTCCCTATTTTTCTGACTTTCTGTGGAAAATTATGCCCCAATCTCATAAACAAGTCTTCCCACATTGCACAGCCCGTTCTCTTTGTTAAATTTATATTCTTTTCCCAAGCGTAGCGACATATTATGCGGCATAACCCAACAATGCCCTACGTCAAAAAACAAAGTAATGACGTCACAATCAGCGTGCCATTATGCGAAGCGTATGCTCTTGCTATCTGCTGAAACAAACTGAACATGATTCATCCTAGCCATTTGTGATTACCTCCCTTTTATCTACTTCCGTATGCGATCAAAACAAAAATGGCGTACTGGTTTCATCGAAATCCTTTGAAGGCGACTGCCGTCGTCACTTTTGAGCTTCATGGCGTGTCCACAAATGATCAAACCAGGAAGATATTTAGGTAAGACAATCATGGTGATGTCACGAGCGAACATATGTGATAAGACGGATAGATAGCGTTTATGTCTTGACGGTGAAGCTTTGTTGTAATATAGACTGTCGCTTTGTTGACTGACTCACTGTCACGATCATCTGACCATTCGAGTTTAGTTTATATCAAATATACAATATCATATACATACAAGAATTTCGATTCAGACCATTTTGATAACACTGTGAATGTCACTTGCGAAAACAGCTGTTGATTTGTAGTTAAGGAATTTATATTTTACACTGATGAAAAGTTTTAAATTTGGCAATACCTAAATTGCTACGACTGCATAGTGAGATTACGCAATACCGTCGTCTCAGTTCCTGAAATCCTGACAGGATGTTTAATTAAACTGAAGCAGAAATATCGGTACTAATGTCTCCCTGCATAGGAAAATGATTGATGTATTTTTCGTGTTGACTATTTACATGACATTTGTCCTAACATAGTGGTATATAGGTGTTGTTTTCATCCATCAAAGGTGTAGATGATTGTGTCCTTCATTACAAGTGATTAAAACTTAACAATGAAATCTGCTTTGAACTGAAACAATATTCCAATTAACATTAGTATTGATTGTTATCTGTGCTTTGTTTTGTTTCTAATCAGTGATTAAGTATTGGTAATCATAGTTGTTTAAAGGGCCACTGATCCAGAGCGATTTCCGTGGACTGGTTGTTGCTTTTGTTATTGTTTTTCTCCCGTGAGTTCCCGGATGATATCCCAGAATTCTTGACTGGTTCGTGACCTCAACTGCGCTACCCACATGTGCAATTGATAGTATAAATATAGATTGATCAACAAAGAGGAAATCTTTATTACTCGATAATATTTCCATCTTCATTAATTTGATGGCCTACCTTTAGAATACAGCACCACAAACTTTAAAAATACGTCGTCATAATACCCTTTTACGTAATGTAATGTGATTTTGTTCCAAAGCAAGATCTGAAACAATGCCCCATGGCGCCTGCATGGCAACACGGTTGTCTGGCTCAGCGAAGTCGCGTATAAGCTCCGCTCACTGGTGTTTCATCTCTACACGAGCTATGTCATTGCATAAGGCCAACGCTTGATGTTGAGAGTTTCCAGTAGTTGTATACCTGGCGGATGCGCCAATATTTTTCACAAGCACCAGTTTGAAATATTTTTCTTTTTTTCACTAATAATGCTCATATTTATTTGTATTCACGGGCTGCTGGGGTGTTAAGTGTTGTGTATTTTGTATTTTGTAATTTTTAAATTTACATATATATTTTGTCATTCAGTAAGTTGCACCATTACATAGAAAAGTGTTTTATTAGTATTTTTTTTTCGAAGCGGTAATAATGCATTACACTAGACACGTCAATGGTAGTGTTTGTGCATGGGTTCTGTCAATGCATTCTATTTATTAGGATTAATTCAAAGGGATTAGGGTTAGGGCTAGGATTAGGGTTAGGGTTGGGGTTGGGGTTGGGGACCCTAATGCAATGTAGTAGGTACATGTCCGTGGTTCGGTCAATGCATTCTATTTATTAGGATTATTTCAAGGGGTTGGGGTTAGGGTTAGGGCTGAGGGTTTAGGGTTTAGGGTTAGGGTTAGGGACCTAATCCAATATAGTAGGTACATGTCCCGTAATTAATGCGGAGAGTACCATTTGTTTTTTTGGTTTTTTGCATTTTAATACTTTTTTTCACACAAAAACGGGAAACCAAAAACGCCGAAAGTACATTATGAAATGGGTTAATGTAGAAATTTTGGGCTAATGAAATTTGGCCTGGAATTTACACTGAAGCCTCTTTCACCACATAATATAAATTTTGTAAAGTAATGATTCGAAGGCTAACTCACCCTCGTGCCGTCACTACACATGCTCATGTCTCCCTCGTTCCTTATTCGCGATCCACATTATCCTTACAGTGTTCCCTACATCACTTTTCTGTCACAAAATCACCGATTTATATAAAAGCGTCATTCATGCATGCACCGCGGAAATCTACGCCTGACGCCTGACGCGTCAACAACCCTTTTCCGTTTGAGGCATATCGGCTCATTCCCGCCACATGTTAATTTGTAGATTACGGAATGGGACGAGAGTGTGCCAAATGGCATCGGATCCATTCGGCAACTGTCCGTAGGAATAAAATCGCATGACACCAAGTCTACCCGTAGCATTTCGTGTAATTGTCCAAGACCTATTCGACTCTTTCCGTTCATTTCCATGGCGTCACAGGAATGACTTCGATAAATTTGCACAGTATGCAACAGTGTGGACGTAGCTCAGTCGGTTAGCTGTCGAGCTAATAATCCGAAGGTCGCGGGTTCGGCGTCCGGCCGAGGTTCTCTAAACTGGTTGCTTGTCTTAATGACACGTGACCTACGGCAGAGATCGTCCTCACGAGAAGTTGTGGTGCTGTATTCTAAAGGTGCTCCAATTTGATAACAAATGAAAACATTTTGAAGTTTAACTATCTGCCGGTGGTGAAAAATGTTAGGACTGAAAAATAAAGAAGTCAATGTACTTTACATTTTTTTATAATCCTAATTAGTTTGTTATCATATTTGTATGCATTTTGAAACCTTATAAAATGTCCACGATCTGCTTATACTTCTTGTGAATATATAACGCATGACTGTAATATCTAGACATTTTATAGATTGCCAATGTCGATTATGTATTATTTCACACACGCCCCAAGTGTGACCCTAGTGTATGTTGTCTGTCTCATTACGGCTTCCACAGCGAAAAAATGATTCTGTATAATGCTACAACAAATGAATAAAACAAAATGCAAATATTAAAATTAAAACAGACTAAAGTTACAGCAACAATGTCAGGCTATCCTACCTTGTTAGAGGAATGTACCCATCAATATCAACATATAAAGGAGTATATGACCGTCTATAAGCGAATTTTGAGGACCAAAAAAAGCAGTCTGTAGAAGGGGTCGTCTTATCCATGAGTTACACTTACCGTCAAACTTTTTCCAGGGGTAAGAAAAACAACATCGTATCACTTGGCGTGAACAAACAACAGAGAAGGCGACTTTGTCAGTAGAGGCGTCAAATTTGCAATTAAACATCACTAGACAAGATTAATTACCATTTAAGTTATAAGTTGTTTTGCTGGGCATTGTTTTATTTGCAGGGATTAAGATTACCGTGCGTATTTGTCACCATTACACAAAGCGGAAATAGCAATCAGCTGTGCACCGCGTTTCCGGCCGTGAACAAGTTCAAACATGCACAATAATATAGCGGGACGAATTCTGGCGCAGTCATCAGTAAAATATAATACAGAATACCGTTATTTAACCCAAAGAAATATATCCTAGCATTGTGTAATTTTAGTTACAGTTTTGCTCTATAAATTAATTAAGATTACCGTGCGTATTTGTCACCATTACACAAAGCCGGAAATAGCAATCAGCTGTGCACACGTTTCCCCTTGAACAAGTTCAAACATGCACAATAATATAGCGGGATGAATTCTATTGATTGAATACTATTATTTAACCCAAAGAAATATATCCTAGCATTGTGTAATAGTTTTTATGTAAAAATATATAATCAACACTAAGGTTATCACGGACCATCATGAGCGTGGTAAGCCGCGTGACATGGAGCAGCGGTAATCAGTTTGTGATTGTTGAATGGGGGGTAAAATAAAGCAAAGCCAGTTTGTTGCTACAATAAATATGATATTTAGAGAAGCAAAATATATTATGCATTTTCTGTCAACTACACTTCGTTTTGATCCATTGAGTAGACACAATATATATGACAGTGAATTCTTTGAATAATGTGGATGGAGCTTACAGTATGAGGGAGGAGGACAGTGACCGCGAATTTGATGGGTTTCACGACCCGATGACTTGTGAAAATCTCAGAACTCTCTTGCAGAAATGTCAGTGTTTATTGTTAGTGGACTATTTTTCTTATTGTCATATATATATAGATGAAATATGGACACTTAAATAATATATTTTGAAACAAAAGTTGACTTCAGTTTTATTTACCGATGGTACTTTTTCTCTCCATACTCACCGATTTCACAAAATGGCGTCTCGTTGTTGATGCAAGCAGTGATCGTCGGGGATATAAAAGGAACACAAACACATGTTGCCACAATACACGGTAATCTTTATTATGTAATATTCTCACCAACACTTACGCTGTATATCCACTTTCCAAATGCGTCTCGTTGTTGATGCAAGCAGTGATCGTTAAAAAGGTAAACAAACACCGGTAATCTTTATTATGTAATATTCTCGTAATGGTGTCTCGTCGTTGATGGAACATACTTACCGGGTACTCTGGTCTCTGTTGGCCGCGACCCATCGTGAAGCGGAATCGGCCTATCCATGAGAGAGATATGATTTTGACACTGATTTTGAGGGTCAAGTTTGGGGTCGGCTTATCCATGGGGTCGGCTTATAGACGGTCATATCACGGTATACCTATTTACCAAAGTAAATTTTCAGATTTTTCTAGCAATGGCAAGGTGGGGTTGTTTAGTTTACGGATTCAAATGCATCAAATGTGTGTTTTTAATATCATAGCATAGGTAATAAACATCATATTTTTACATGACATGATTGAATATCGATGTAAAAAAACGCAGAATTTGATAGGATCAAATTGGATCAGTAATTATACCATCCAGGCATTAGAAAATCTGAAAATGTTTATACTACTGGGATTCTTTATTACAGTCAGACAAGAACTACCGGGAATAGTTTCAAATAACGGGCATCATCCCTTCCTAATGTCCCACTGTTTAGGTTGAAGAAATTCTGCCAAGGTGGACAGTAGCCCAGTCCCAGTTCCCGTGCATGTCAGCAGGTACCGACCAGCCTGCAGCTTGGTTTCATAATTAGACCGTTGGCGAGAAACATTAATCGCTCTGGATCAGTGGCCCTTTAACATGAGTGCTTCTGGTGATATTGCATATTATGTTAAAAAAAAGAAATTTGGTTGCAACTAAATGCTACCATTTTGGCAACCATTTGGTACATGAAAGTTAAAGATGTCAAATCTTTTATTTAATGCCTCATATGGGTTAATATCTTGTTAAATATGGGTTCACTCCCGAAAGACAGACCACCCATAAGACAGACTCAGTGAGTACACTAATTAGATGAGCCATGCTGTCCACCCCTATTTAATTAATGAGCTGACCCAGAGTCACGACAGAGTATAGTAACATATTACTTATCCTTTTACTGAACAGAACAGAATAGAACAGGAATTTTATTCTAAAAAATTACATATAGTGACACAGAGAACATACAGCATACATACAGCATATTGATACATATTATTATTAAAAAACATTTTCAAAATTTCTCAATAACAGAAATATTGAGGAAGAAAGATTTTGAAGTTCATCACTGACATCTAAATTCACATTATGTTTCCATTCTTTACAATACTGGTCAAACACATTCTAAGATTTTTGCAACCCGTCACTTGTTTCAGCTAATATGACAGTATCGCAGCGTAAAGTAATATCAACAATTTCATAAAGATACCAAGCTGGTCCTCAATAAGCTTATTTACTTGTTGGAGGCCAGTTACACCATGTTCATAAAGAAAACACTCAACATCATACAAGTAGAAACTGGAGAACAGGACGTTTTTATAACAGTTGTTGAATTAGTTCTTGCAAATAACTGGAGAAGAGGATTTTTTATTGCTTAAGATTATTTGAAGATGAAAGTGAAATAATATTTATAAAATTCACTTACTGTGTTTTTATGAGTCGCCTTCCCGGTTCAAGCCGCGTGAACCTAATCACTGCGCATGCGCTATGGGCACAGTGCAGTACAGCTGTTGATACCACTTTTCACCCCAGCGCTGGGGTGAAATTAGTAATTCGTTTGAACTCCCATTTCGCGGGGTTTTTTTCATCGCGTTTTTTTTTCAACTTTATAAGTTGAATTTGATAATTTGTTAATAAGTCCATACCGAAAGGTATCAGAATCGGCAAAGTTGTTTTTTGCGTTGCATGTGACCTTTAATTAAGCCTTATGCAACCAACCATAAAATGTGTTGTTTTAAGCGGTCTGTCTTTTGGGAGGTCTGTCTTATGGGAAGATACCTAATATGTTATGTTTTCATTTCATTTGGGTACAGATTTGTGAAAGAAAATAACTCAAAAATGACTTTACTGTTAAGCATTTTAGAATGATTTAAGAATGGGATTTTTAACAATAAAAAGCTAACACATTTTTCATAATTTTGTCCTGTCACATTGGTTGTCATAATTTGTCCAGCAGCTTACAGATTGTATGTATAGATAATCATGCTAATACGTCACTGAAGTTTTTATTTGTTTATCAGTGACCTGCGTATGACCCGGAGTAAACTGCTGGAGCTCCTGACAGATCCAAACCATGACAAGATTGTTGTGGAGAAGGCCACGAATGAATACTTCTCCCTTCTGCTGGGGATGTACATGTCCTTCAAACAAGACGAACCTGTGAACAAACTGAGGAAAATTATCAGATTCAAGTGGACCAGCACCCTCCTTGGGAATGTTACAATGTGAGGAACTTTCGTTGGGTTTAAGGTTTTTTATTGTAGCCATTTTGTGAGTAGGGACTGGTCCTTAGTAGTGAGTGAGATTTGCCTTTGCATTTTTGTTAAATATGGTACCCTTTAATCATGCTTATAGTTGTGATCTAGGCACCCACGTGTCATTTTTTCATGACCCCCTTAATCTCACTGCCCGCCCCTAAAGTAAATGGCCAGTCAATTAGCAAATTATCTGTGAAATGCAACATCAAATGTTATGTATTAAAATACATGTAAACATGTATATGTCTGTTTAATTATCAAGGCGTGTTCAACATATGTTCAAGGAAAATGTTCATTGCCCATCAATTTGATAGTCTTGTAACTTTATCTTCTCTTAATCCACTGATGGGAAGAGATTTCGTCATGGAATGAAATTGAAAACAATGTAACAGTTCATACATCTTTAAGTTTCTTCAAAACCACACTTCTGAGGGTATGAAACATTGATGTGATGTGTTGAAATACTGTGGGATTTTACATCTTTAAAACTATTTAAGATACCATAAAATTCAGTCATTTCTTAAACATGTTAAATTTGACTATTTTGATTGGCATTGAAATATGGTTGTGTTATCATGTTTATGTTACAGCTGAAGCTGCCCATACTGTAGTCAGTGTAAAATGTTCTGCAACAATTAAAACTTCAGTAGTATTGTCCCCCATTTATTGTTGTCCAGTTGTCTGTTGTAAGTGTTATCCTGATCATTAGGAACCAGATCAATGGTAAAGTATTGTGTTTATTTCAGGGCCCAGAATGACGTCATCTTTGAGTTTGCCTCCATGGGCATCAATGTGGCCCTGTGGTACACCAAACATGCTGCTAAACTTGCTGCAAAGGAGGAGTATGTACACTCTTCACATTTCAGAATCTCTTGCTTTCTTAGGATTATGTATGCTTTATATTTTGATCTGTTACTGCATGTATACATGTACTTGTTAGTGACATGGGTGGTGGGGTAGCCAAGTGGTTAAGGCATTCGCTCACCACACCAAAGACCTGGGTTCTTTCCCCCAAATGGGCACAATGTGTGAAGCCGATTTCTGGTGTCCCCCCTCCATGCTTTTGCTGGAATATTGCTAAAAGCGGCTTAGAATTAAACTCACTCACTATGTATACAGTGACATGATTTATCTTAAGAGTTGATGAGAATGGTTGAAGGTTTAGTTATGTAGAGGTTTGCAGGAACTCCAGGTGTAAACTTTGTGTGCTTGCAGTGCTGTAGTCTTATTGGTGGAAATCAGTCTTGAATGGGTTTTCATCTGGATTTGGTATGATTATGTTTCTTGATGATATATACGTGTCTTTTTGTCCCTCTGTTGAATTGTTATTTGAAAAACAGTTGATTTGACAAGATGGATATCTCATTAGTTATGTATGACGTCACAATGCTGATACATCCATCACAATGGTGTTAGACCTTGCATGACTCGTGGAAAGCTGAGAGTCATCACACTGTAGACAGTTTCTATCAATTTAATATTTATGTTGGAGAGTAATAAACAGAATACTAAACTCACTTCCGTGAAATACCATTATTTGTGAAAGCTTCGTGCTAGCAGGTGNGCTGAGCGTACATCTTTGGGTCTTTATTTAAAAATTCGAGCCAACTCAATATAGATCTGTAAACATATAATAGTCATCATCTGGAGTAGTAAGGTGTGAGTTCTGAGCCTGTTGCTGGAGTAGTAAGGGATGAGTTGTGAGCCTGTTGCTGGAGTAGTAAGGGATGAGTTGTGAGCCTGTTGCTGGAGTAGTAAGGGGTGAGTTCTGAGCCTGTTGCTGGAGTAGTAAGGGATGAGTTGTGAGCCTGTTGCTGGACTAGTAAGGGGATGAGTTGTGAGCCTGTTGCTGGAGTAGTGTGAGTTCTGAGCCTGTTGCTGGACTAGTAAGGGATGAGTTGTGAGCCTGTTGCTGGAGTAGTAAGGGATGAGTTGTGAGCCTGTTGCTGGAGTAGTAAGGGATAAATTCTGAGCCTGTTGCTGGACTAGTAAGGGATGAGTTGTGAGCCTGTTGCTGGAGTAGTAAGGGATGAGTTGTGAGCCTGTTGCTGGAGTAGTAAGGGATGAGTTCTGAGCCTGTTGCTGGAGTAGTAAGGGATGAGTTCTGAGCCTGTTGCTGGAGTAGTAAGGGATGGAGTTGTGAGCCTGTTGCTGGAGTAGTAAGGGATGAGTTGTGAGCCTGTTGCTGGAGTAGTAAGGGATGAGTTGTGAGCCTGTTGCTGGAGTAGTAGTAAGGGATGAGTTGTGAGCCTGTTGCTGGAGTAGTAAGGGATGAGTTCTGAGCCTGTTGCTGGAGTGAGCCTGTTGCTGGAGTAGTAAGGGATGAGTTGTGAGCCTGTTGCTGGAGTAGTAAGGGATGAGTTGTGAGCCTGTTGCTGGAGTAGTAAGGGATGAGTTGTGAGCCTGTTGCTGGAGTAGTAAGGGATGAGTTGTGAGCCTGTTGCTGAGTTCTGAGCCTGTTGCTGAAATAGTAAGGGATGAGTTCTGAGCCTGTTGCTGGAGTAGTAAGGGATGAGTTGTGAGCCTGTTGCTGGAGTAGTAAGGGATGGGTTGTGAGCCTGTTGCTGGAGTAGTAAGGGATGAGTTGTGAGCCTGTTGCTGGAGTAGTAAGGGATGAGTTGTGAGCCTGTTGCTGGAGTAGTAAGGGATGAGTTCTGAGCCTGTTGCTGGAGTAGTAAGGGGTGAGTTCTGAGCCTGTTGCTGGAGTAGTAAGGGGTGAGTTCTGAGCCTGTTGCTGGAGTAGTAAGGGGTGAGTTGTGAGCCTGATGCTGGAGTAGTAAGGGGTGAGTTGTGAGCCTGTTGCTGGACTAGTAAGGGATGAGTTCTGAGCCTGTTGCTGGAGTAGTAAGAGGTGAGTTGTGAGCCTGTTGCTGGAGTAGTAAGGGGTGAGTTGTGAGCCTGTTGCTGGAGTAGTAAGGGATGAGTTGTGAGCCTGTTGCTGGAGTAGTAAGGGGTGAGTTGTGAGCCTGTTGCTGGAGTAGTAAGGGGTGAGTTGTGAGCCTGTTGCTGGAGTAGTAAGGGGTGAGTTGTGAGCCTGTTGCTGGAGTAGTAAGGGGTGAGTTGTGAGCCTGTTGCTGGAGTAGTAAGGGGTGAGTTCTGAGCCTGTTGCTGGAGTAGTAAGGGGTGAGTTCTGAGCCTGTTGCTATGATGTTGTAGTCCTGACATGGATGAAGCCAAGGAGGTCCACAAGTGTCTGAGGATAGCTGCTGGTATCTTCACGTACATCAAGGTATGTCTCAACACACACCTCCTCATAATTCTGCACAATACATGGACTTTGATTTTAATGGTTTGTACAAATATTGCTAACAAATGTTTTTGACAGAAGTAAATATGTGCAATTTGTTCATTTCATTGGGTATTCAGTTGGTCTATGGAATTGCTTGAGATGTCATGCAACATAGCATGGCTGTTAGTGTGGTCCGTACATGTGAGATATTGTGTAATATGGCTGTTACAGTGGTTTTAGTATGCCAGTATGTGATATTAGGTAGGCACTGCTACAGTGCGTGAGTGTATGCAATATTTAGTAACATGTTAGAGCAATCCTTGTGTCATATATGTTTAAGTGGTTCATGAGTATGAGGTATTCAGTAAAATCTGTGTTATATATCAGAATGACCTGGTGGGCCAGCTGTCAACAGAGGAGGAAGTGAAGGGCGCGGACACGGATACGCGGGTGCTGGAGGCGTACATCAACCAGTGCACAGGGGAGGCCCAGGAAGGTCTGTATCTCACTGCAGGGGGTACCAGTGGTAGGATACTGCTGTTGGAATCCATGTTCCGTGGGACATATATTTAGTCAGTTTACTTGTTCCATAATCTTTGGGGCGGTGGGGTAGCCTAGTGGTTAAAGCGCCGAAGACCCGGGTTCGAATCCCCACATGGGTACAATGTGTGAAGCCCATTTCTGGTGTTCCCCCGCCGTGATGTTGCTGGAATATTGCTAAAAGCGGCGTAAAGCCAAACTTAGTTAGTCAGTCAGTCCATAATCGTCATTTTTTGTCCTTAAGTACCCCATGACCAACTTTTACCCGAATGTGTAAGCAATGTTAATAAGTACTCCTGCTAAAATTAAAACTAGTTTATTCAATACTGCTTAGTGTCTGGGTTTTATTACCCCGGTAAGCTCTTCTCTCTCTCTCTTCCTCCTTCCTTTTTTCTCCCCCACCCCTCTCGGTATTAAGTGTCATTTTGAATATGGTGTATGTTTATATCAGTTTTCTTTCCATCTTTTGTAACAGGAGAATAGTGAATAATAATTTAGAATCTCAGTGATATCTGGGGTTAAAAAAGAAAATTTCCCTACTTTAAATATGATCACATTATGACATTAGAATAGTTACTTGGTAAACCCTCATGTCAGATTGAATAGTTTTTTGCTTTATTTACACCTTACTTACATTTGATTTTTTAATCATATAGTTAACTTTGGTGATGTTTGCAGTGACGTTAGCCCGAGCCATCGAGATGAAACACAATCCTAGCCTGATAGCAGCACTGGCAGCCGAGACAGGCCAGTTGTACCAGAAAGCTGGTGCGTGTATACACTGCTATATAGTGAAGTTTCAGACAGACTTCTCATGAAAGTCTGAATACCTATTCTCTCTTTCCACTTTCTAATATCTCTAATATCATTTTCCAAAGAAAGGATGTTTGTATTTGTAGCCTGAAGTGTTTATTTTCCTGAAGTATCAGTTTCTGTTGGGGTATGTTTATTCCACATGATTGTGTTAATGTTTGAACTCTGCTGTTGATGCTACTTGATAAAGTATATTTTGCCATGTTGTAGATGATGCCCTGTCTAGTCTCGACGTCAAAGTGGTTGGCAAGTGGAGGAAATACTTTCAACTGAAAAGTAACTTCTACCTGGCTTATGTGAGTGTTTCACTAATGTGTTAAGTACAAAATCAGTTGTGGTATCCTTAATTCATTCCACATTCTGATACGTAAAGCAATGCATAACCTTCATACTAAGATGATTTAAAGTGTGTGTCACAGTGTGGGAGTGCATCACAGTGATCTTAGTGCTGAGACTGTTGTCAATGTATATTACAGCATGAGAACTATAATCATTATAGCGATTGTAGTGATAAGGCTGTTGCATGTATATGTTAAAGTATGGGAGTAAGTCACCATAGGCTACAACAACTGTTGATTGTAAAATATTTCACAATAGTCTGATTGATGGTGATACTCCAAAACAAACAGTTACTTTTTGAGATTTTATCACATTACCATATGACCTGTCTTTGTGCACCTTGGTGATGTTTCAGTGTAGAATGTTGACAGCGTACCACAGTGTACTGCGGGCCCCAGATAATGACTTGTTGTTTTGTGTAGGCTCACTCGTACAACGGGGAGACCCTACTGGCCTCGGACAAGTGTGGAGAAGCTATACGCGGACTGAAAGAGAGTGTCACATGTAGGACTTTATTGTAAATCTTTGGCCATAAAGTGTTTCCAAAATACATCGTTATGCTCGTCTTGGTTTTTATGTGGATGTTTTTCAGGATAAGCAGTAATATTTGCTTTTTTTAATCTGGCATGTTATTTTCATATCAATATCAATAGTGTCCAGATTTTTACTGAAGAATGAATTTTTGTTTGTTTTTACACTTATATGTTATTTAATTTTGGTGGAAAATATTGTTACTAGAACAGTACCATTAATTTAGAGATAAATGTCCATAATTTATGTGGTGTCATATGACATAGTTACATAGCTTATGTTGTCTAATGCCAAATGTGAAGTTCTGGACTATGTTGCTGCAGTGTACGAGAAGGCGTCGCTCCTTGCCAAGGAGTACGCAAGTACCAAGGGCCCAGGAACAACAGCCAGGCCAGCTGAGCACGTGTTCTTCCGACGTCTTGGACCAGTTGTAAAGAGGACTCTGGAGAAGTGTGAGAGAGAAAATGGGTTGATGTAAGTGAAATCCATGTCATAATGAGTATCTAAATGTTAGTTAAATGTTGCTTTGGTTTCATTTGACTTTGTTTGATGTTGTTTATCTCCAGGTGCGTAGCAAGCCAATTTTTTTTGTGTAAGCCCGATAGGTTGTAAAGCTTTATATTTAGATAGTATTGAGGGCTTGCCCAACCTTTTTAGCAAAGATCATGTGTAAGCCCAGGCTTTTTTTATAATGGTAGCTACGCCCCTGATCTCAAAGGTTGGGTAAATAAGAACTGCAAGCATTCATTTCACCATTTTTATTCTTTCTTGATTAATTTTTGCAAAAATATTTAGACACTAATTTTTGTTGCCTTGCTTATATAACAGGGTTTTAAAGCTTGAATTAAATGCTTTTGTAAGTTGATGTTCTCAATGTTGCCCAATGGAGGTAGTGTCGTATAATTTTCTATCTGTGTCCATGTTTTTCCCTTCCTAGATACCACCAGAAAGTGTCGTATGATCCCCCACAACTTGAGTTGAAGGCCACCTACGGACTGGTCAGCCCTGAGGACTACCAGCCTCCTTCCATGAACCCACTTTGGAATGTCGATACATACAGCAAGTTTAATGTCCAAATGGCTCCCAGACCTGAAAAGGTAGTTTCACTTTTACAGGATTTGTTTTTATGTATACTTGATTGTGAACATTTAGTTTACTCTCTAATGAATGTTTTTGTGTAGGAAGAAAAAGTTTTAATTAAATATAAAAATATTACATCTACCTCTCAAAATTGCTTATGAATTTAGTAAAATTCCAGGTATGCAGTTGCTCACAGCATTGTTATTGTGCTATATATCCTGGTGCAAACGTTGATGTAATGATTTGAAGAGCTTTATTATTTACATTGGAAAGTGAACTGAGGGAGTTTAGTCTTATGCCACTTTTAGTGATCTTCCAGCAATATCACAGAGGGAAAAAATAGGTTGTTTGAGTCAACTATGTGGCAGTAGCAATAGGTGCAAGGCCCTATTGTTATTTAGGGTAGGCTACTCACAAAATGTCGTGATTTTTGTCTCAGTTGAATGACTTGAAACATGTCTTACTTCATTCTTTAATTGGAAATAGTATTGGAAACTGTTATGTAAGATACATGTCAGGTCAAAAAGGCCACATATCCACATTTGTGACACGTTTATGTAAATATCAAGTTTGTCATGTTTGCAAGCAATCAGGGGCAGATAACTCTCAAATGCCAGTGGCTACTTTCAAGATATTTTACTACCCTTCTATCACTTTATTCCATTGCCAATTACTTAATTCATGTATTTACTAAGTTTCTTCTACCACTAATATTACTTAAACATGATTCTGTTTTACAGTAGGAACAATATTATTGACTTTTGTTGCACTTGAATGTCTTGGCCATGAGAGTCCATTTTATGATTACAGAAAGATGATAAAGAAGAAAATCTTCCTCCTGTAAAAGAAAAAGAAGTCCCGATGTCCGACAAGGACCCCGAAGAATGTCAGTGGCTGTGTTGTGTCATAGGTTGCTTTTTCTATGTAATGTGTACTCGCGTTGAAGCACAGCAGTACTGTGCAATAGTTGCCATGGTTACTGTGTTGTCCACATAATCATTTCAATCCGGAAACCTTGTTTTGTACTTATATTATTAAGTTTTTTATTTCTTAACATGTCATATTTTTAAAAATCACAATTTCAGTGAGTAATTCTTATGGATATTCAAAATTTCCTGGAGAGATACTTTGTTACCGATAGATAATTACAAACATAGGAGCATCTCATGTACATATTGCTTCTGGCATGGAGCTGTAATTTATGTTATTATTCCATGTTTGTATTTAAACAACAACATTTATAACGCTATATAATCAGTCCGTGATGAAGGTGTATATTTTGTACATATGTATGAGACGTCACCACACTATGACTTCAGCACAGGTCATGACCTCCAGGTGTGGTTGTGTTATTCTCAACAGAATAAAAACAATGTGTTCTTACAAAGATGGTTTGTAGATTATTCTGCTAATTGTGCACCAGAGATAATATGTTGACAGTTACAAGATGGAAGCGATGTGGTCTTTGTCTTTTTGTATATTTTATGAAAGTAGATACTTCTATACTGAAGGTGTAATGTAGAGACAGAAAATCCTGTGGGAACGGCTTTCATGTATTTTTGAAAGGCCAACATTATTATCAAGTTATCTGATGTGGATAGGAAAACACCTTGTGAATAGTAAAGCTGGTGTTGTGGGAATAATTTATTATATGTGTACACTAGCAGTGGTTATCACGATGTGATTTGGTAAATTCATACCTCTCTGCATGTTGAATCTCTTAGAGCACATTCAGCCAGCCCTTGTTCATGTATTACAGGTCAGTGTTGGGTTCTAAACCCAGTCTAATATTTAGATTTGTTTTTATTCTGTCCTTGGTTCAACTGATTACTTGAGAGATAATTAGGGTACCTTAAATGTTGACATACAATGGTTTTTTAACAAGAGGTAGTTTGGATCAAAATAAATTGAAAAGTAATTGATTAACAGTATTTAATTAATTTTATTACTATGGTCGATAATTGAAGCAGCATCATTATTCAGTATTTTAACTGAACTTCTTGCATGTACCATTGAAATATGTGGTTAACTTACCCACCCCTAACAGAACCTTCTCTAATAGAAGGTTGTGTTTTTCTCATGAAGTTCTGAATCGTCTTTGATATTCATGGACGGGATCTTGACAGTAGAAATGCCAAGAATATTCTCTTGCCCCATATTTCTCCAGTGGAATTGTTCTTGTAAATATTATAATTATTTAAACCTTCTGAAAGTGCTAAGAACAGGGTAGTTTAATTACCTATAGATTATTGTTAAAGTTGATGTGTTATACTGTGCTAACCACATGGTATCAAAATAATGTTTTGCATTGCTAAACATATGGAAATTTAATACCATTATGCAAATTATTTTGACTTGATCCTTTAACTTTAAGTTATTACCAGAGGCATTTCTTCTCTATCAGCACTTGCAAATGGGAGATGAGTCATCTCCATCATCGTCACGCCGAAGACCCAGGTTCGAATCCCCACATGGGTACAATGTGTGAAACCCATTTCTGGTGTCCCCCGTCGTGATGTTGCTGGAATATTGCTAAAAGCGGCATGAAACCAAACTCAGTCAGTATCATTGAAAATTTAATATTTAAAGCCATGTAATTAAAACAACCCATTTCCTTGGTCCCTGGAATAATTTATTACAGGAAAATTAGTTGTTTAACTTTAAAACAATTTTTGTGCAAAGGTTTGTAGTGGATGTTGTCTCGTAGGAACTGATTCGCCAAGTGAGAATACCTGTGAGAATTTCCTCACCAGTGCTGATTGGTAATTTATGTCAATTCTCATGGTCACTTACAGTGAAAACAAGTCACTGTTATAACTGTCCCTTTGTGACTGGTGATAGTAGTGCCGAAAATAGATATGGTGATATTTTGTTAAATTCTCTTGATTTGACGTTTAACAGTCGACAGTATGTAAATGGTAGCATCAGGTGTTTCTTTGATCATTTTATGACACCCGACATTATCATTTATAGAACTAATGAATCATTACGTGTGTGATTTAGCTCTCATTAAAATGTTATTGTTTGATGTCAAACAGTGAACTTTGTTAAACGTCTTTCAAGTCTCAGTGTTTAATCACGCCAACATTACTCACATATGGGTCTGCAGTTTGTGGATTGGTGGTATTGACATGATGATTGTACATACCTTTAGACAGATATGTGGCTGCTGTAGTGTCAGTGTGTACATATACATGTGTATAGTGCAAGGAATAAACACCGTCATAAACTGGCTGCTTTCTTGTCTCTTCTTTTAATTGGCTGCCTGAGGATTTCGTTGGAGTGGGTGAGTTTAGTTTTACGCCGCTTTTAACAATAGTCCAGCAATATCACGACAGGGGCACACCTGAAATGTGCTTCACAAATTGTACCCATGTGGATCTTTGATGTGATGAGCGAACGCTTTAACCAATAGGCTACTCCACCACCCTTGGTTCACGTTAGAATTGGTCATGCTTTTAGCCAGAGGTGACGAGTGGGATCACTGACTGTGTTGATGCAGTTCTTTGTATCCAATTTCAGTAGATCAATAACTAGACTTGATTATTTTATCATGTAACTGAAATATTAAACAACAAACATAAGGCTAAGCTGGTCATGCTACAGTTGTATCCAGTGTCCCCACATTTGTTGGGGATTCTGAATTGTCAGGTATGGAGACTGATTATTTATACACTGTTGTGTCTACACAGCTGATTCGAGTACTGGATTTTTATTCTGTGACACTGACATGTTAACATTGTTTGTATCCTTGAACCTGGTGAAAGTTCATAACAAGAATATATTTGTAAAGGAGACTGCAATCTTGCGTACAGAATAAGAAACTATGGGTGCTGACAAGGAACTATGACACACGATCCAGGGTCCTGATCCAAAAGGTATTCGTAGTGCTACTACATTCATAACCCTATGATATAAACGTTTTATGGATTGGGACCCAGATTCTCAGGTAGTCAATTACATGACCATCTTGTACATCTGCCTGGAGCAGTAAGAGGCGACTAACAGGATGGGGGTGGTCAGGCTCGCTGACTTAGTTGACACGTCATCTGTTCCCAATTGCGCAGATCGATGCGCGTGCTATTGATCACTGGATTGTCTGGTCCAGACTAGATTATTTACAGACCGTTGCCATATAGCTGAAATATTACTGAGTGTGGCATAAAACTAAACTCACTCACTCTGCTGGAGCATTGGACGGTCAGTGGTTCATTCACCTGGCCTGATGTTTCCCATTGTCAGGGAGGACAAGAAGTGTTTGACTCGTCTAGCTGAGAGTCATCCATGATATCTCACTGGGCTGGCATAAGTTAGGAGAAGGGCACACACACAAGTTCAGTAATATTGAATTCAACCTGCCTCACTTGCATGTCATAGAATCAACACAACACAGGATGATCAGTATTTATTCTAGTGATATAATTAACAACAGAAATTATTACCCTTTGCTAGAAATTGGAATAATTGAGAGAAAAACAAACGATTTGACAAGTATTATGATGTAAACAATTTTGGCCAGTTGACAAACATATTGAACATAATTATGTGATGAGAACACAGGACGGAATGAGTGACGGACATGAATGAGATAATGAGTGACATGCGCATGACGTTACATGTTTGTCGTGGCAACTGAATGTGGGGGGAGGTAGAATACTCCATTTCCATGGCCCTAACGTCAACACCTCCAGATCAGGCCTTGACTTGGTTATGCCCTTTGTTAAACTGGCTCTAACGACAATTAAGCAAGTTCTGCAAGGTTTAGTCCTACCATCACTAAAATGACAGCACAACGCTCATCGTGATGCCAAAACATATGTCACTGTCTGATTTACAAAAACTTCATATTTGAAGCTATCTGTTGTTACCTAACTTACTGATATCATTCTACTCAAAATGTATTGCCACACATATTTCCGAATATTGTTGTAACATATTCAAAATGTGAGAAAGAAATCAGCAAATCAGCTGTTTCAATCAGAGATTGTTACTTTGATTTGAAACCTCTGACCAATAAAAATTGCATATTTTCCAATTTCATGTTAGAATTAACATTAACATAATTAAACATTGCTATCATAAGTGTTAGTTCACAACAGAATATTATCAGTATCCTGGATGGTCTATGAAATGAACACATAAAATATTTTTTTCTACTCCATCAAGAAGGAAAAAGAATAGAAACGTAAGAGTTCCATAAGTTTGTGTTTGTGAAATAATAGAATATATGTGTTTAAGATTGATTTTACAGCTGAATAACCTTTGGTTGAGAAATGATCTGTAATATCTAGCATCAATAAAAATATTCTTTACAATTGCCTCAGTAAGGCTGTCTGAAGAAAATTCCTAGTGATCTCAACAGCAAGCCTATTAAACTCTGTATGTACCCCCAATAAACCTTTGTTTTAAAAGACATGACCAGGAAGTATGACAATCATGATAATGGATTAATGATCAAGTTAACAATTTGACAAAACAATGACAATATAATGCATAACTGACACTCCGTCTCGTATTTCCAGAAGTCCAGCTTGCAGGTGACTATAGCACAGTGTGATGATGCATACAGTTGTCATAGTGATAGTAACATGATTCAATGAAATGGTAACCATAGTAACAGAATAACAACAGGTGACAACATAACACAACAATGAAACAAAGAAGCACTTTCATGTTAACAGGATATGTTCCAGAACCCAACTTAGTGTACTTTATTCAGTAAAATCGATCTTCCAAAATTTGTCAAATAAGTCCTATAATTTGGTATCAGTCTATGAAAGTGTGAGAAAATACCCCAAACTTTGTTCGTATTAAAGTAAACAGAGAGATGGCTGAGATGTAAATGACCATACAACATCAATTACATACAGAAATTGTGACCAAAATAGAGGTAACACATCATCATCATTATTTATATATGAATGAATACATAATGAATACATTCTTTCAACAACAAAATTCTTTCCCTTATTGATAAAAAAATTCATAACCAAGAAAAAAAATTAAACAGAAACATGAAATAAAATATTTCATGAATTCATACATGTCAAGTGAAAGTGTCCATGAGGAAAAACCTTTACTGGCATTGAAAGGTTACCACTGTTTTCTGATATGTCAGGTCCTTACTTTCCCAAATACCAAACATAAAAATACAATCCAGATTGAAAATGCAGGTCCAACTTGAAAATGTGGCCGAGGCCAGTGGAGCAGGTGCTTGCTGTAAGACAGTACTGTAGGAATAGAACCTGGGCATAATCAAATCCACCATGCTTCATAGTCTTCAATCACAGGTACACTTAAATGTATGTACACAACAGCCAAGTAAAACAGAAAGGAAAGTGAGCTAAATGCCCCAACAGCTGCTTTATCCCTGCCTAAGTCTGTACAAAGTTGGAGGCCTCCTAAGACCACATTGAATGAGGATTACTCCTACGTTGCAGCTGCCATACAGTGTGTTGAGGCACTCTCCAATTCTGCATCAGTGTACATGACAACCTCATTAAAATCAGATCTGTTTTTCTGACATACCAAAGCTTATGTTAGGTGAATCCGGAGCCAAATTTGACTACCCGATCTAAATACACGCAATAAAGGATGTGTGGATACTTCAGGCAGGTGGATGTCAGCTTTCTAAAACCATTGGGCTTCATTACATTCCTTTGTCTTCTCTTCCTAATTCTGTTCCAGTTTCTGCTTAGTAAATCCTTTTACCTTCTGTATCTTCTCCACAAACTTCAGTCTTAACAAGAAAACCCATATTTAAAGCAAATATTATCAACATACTATACAGAAAAGGTGTAAAATATCCTGGACAAAGCCCTACCCTTATTATTCTCCATTTGTAACTGCCTGTTCATATTCCTTTTCAAGACACAGAAATCAGACATGTTGTTCCAGGACTGGTTCACACCAACAATTTGGAGCCTCCCGTCCGCATGGCTGACATGGAAATTCACCTGACATGGCCTACTTGAGATAGACCAGAGTAAAAAGATCTGAGTTTAATGGCATTGTGACCAAAGAGGAATCTGACACAGGATGAAGCAACAACATGACCATCATGTCTCAATGATAACAAATATTAAACAGAAGATATTCTTCACATGAGTTATGAACGATGTTGATTATCAAGAATCTTTAAAAAGGTGCTTCTTAATAGTAACAGTATTGTGATTTGAGCTGGTGTAGAGGTCATACATTGGGATTTCCTTTACAATGAAAAAGTGTTCAAGTGAATTTGTGAAGATTCCCGGACATTCATCAACAATAAATACAGATGTCCATGGAAATTCAATGTAGTATAAATGCTATAACATCTAAGGTTGAGACTGAGAATTATATACCTTACATTGACCCAGATCCTTGTCATGAGGGAGACAACAGGTTGTTGATGGGTGTGAACGCGTGCAACAAGCCAGCTTCCTTGCTGATACAAGTACACCCCAGAAAGCCAGCTAAGTGCCAGTACACATCAAAGTACACATTCGTGAGATACAGCCAGAAAAAGACATAACATTTCAAATCATAAAAAATACATACATTCCAATTCCTAATAGTGTATTTCAAATATGAATTTCGAAAGTAGTCCCTATTGTTAATCATAAACCCATTTGAAATAGATTTCTTACAAAACGAAAAGACTGATTAAATTCCATGTGATTATCAATGAATATTAATAACACCAACTTGAAATGTGAACTATGTATCACAGACTTAATCAGTTCAGATAATCTGTCATGCCATCATTTAAATCATAAAGAGCAAAACAAATATTCAAAACACCTGTGGCAATGATCAAACCCTGTTGATCAGTTCAGGCACAGTGGTTACTACCCGCATAGAGAATTAGCCATAGGAAACACAAGCATAACACAACTACAGCACATGGAAACACAAGCAAGATGAAATGGGCTGGAAGTGCTTCTAAAATTGAAAATTGTCAGTTCATGAGATTTGATGTTTGTAAGCAAACTTGTGAATGCATAAGTGGAATGAGGATCCTCATATATATGTGCATGTGGACCACGGAACTGGACATTAGCTAGCAACATTTCCACATACAGTCACAAAATAATCCTGTACGATGCTCTGCCTTGCTACACGATCACCTGAGTACAACAAAATATACCTCTATCTAAACCTACAAGGATAATTTAATAAAAATATTTATATTTGTTGCGAGAGGGTTTGTACAAGTAGGGAGTCCATGTGTTCTTTGCATATTAATATTACTTTCAGATTGAGAAAATTCACTGTCTTCACATAATGGACAATATTGAATAGTTTTAATCTATGCCTATTTTGATTTAACATTTCAAAAATACATAAGCAATGCTTAAAACCAATAAGTATTAAATTAATTTTAATATATTTTTTGTAATGTTTAACACAGCTTAATATTTCAGACACTTTCACAGGATTATTTACTTCAAACATTTAAAATAAAAATGTCCAGAGAGCAGTGAACCAGGACTGTCCTATCAGACTATCTGTATTTTTGTGTGTGTCTCATATCCAGTCAGACAAATAACATTTCATGTAAAATATAGGCTGTATTCATTAGTACAGTTTATTCATAGAATAGAAGTAACTTTGCTTCCCCCTTTAATGTTCTCCTAATAATTATACAGCAATTGTTACACGTCAAATTTACACAAGATATCAGTAATATTCTCGAAACAAAGTATTTTTTTGTCATTTTCATCTGCCCACCTGCCCAATCCATCTGAACCCATGCCTGGATATGGGAAACACACAAATATCACGGAGAGACTGATATCAGTCTTCTTTGCTCAACATGAATCCACTGTCCAGTATATTCCTGGATGACACTGTGCAGGACGTACCGCCGACGTCTCCCTGAAGCCCGGATACGTAACACCTTCAGAAGATCCTAGTGCGTAGAGTAAGAAGTTAACAAGCAAAACTCTGTCCTTTTTTTAAGCAAAAAAGTGCAAAATAACACATGCTCTGCTGCTCCCACACAACAGGACATGGCCACCAGGAGCTGGCCAGACAAACAACCCCTCAGTTGCCGTCTGGACGAGTGCACCCTTGGCCTAAAATTCAGATGTTGGGAAGATGGTCACCTCTGTGGTTCGCATAACGTGGAATCCTTCCCATATTCCCTGGGTTTGGAGAGTTCGACAAAGGATTTGGCTGCAAGGTTGGCAGTGAAGGAACCTGGAAATAGATAACATGGTTAGGCAATATTCACTTAATATGGAGATTGGTTTTCATGGCACCAGTCAACCATTTTGCAAATCATGGAACGAGTCATTGACAAGTACACAACACTTGTCAAGAGCAGGTATGGGATCCACAAGATGAAATGACAAACTGAAACCTAGGATCCATGCTTACATTAAGCTTAGATATTTAAACCAAATTTGACCCCACCAGGGATTGGGATAGAGAACTTTGACAATGGGCCATTTTCAGGATTATTAGCCATTTTAAATGGGCCATTGCCCTTGTATCAATAGTAAACTTCAAAATTTTAATGGGCCATTTTTTATTCTAGTGTGCAAAATGGCCCATGGGCCCCTGCATTTCCCAATCCCTGCCCCACATCATAGTTTTCTGTTGAATCCATGATTTGATCCTTAGCAAAGTGTGAACAGTATATAATAGTTCCCTCCATTTTCAAGCATGTCACTTTATGTCACATGTAACATGTTCACTATCTTGAAGAATGTGTTGACATCCTGGCTTGGATATAGTGTGCATCTTCAAGTTCATACTCCAACTCTAGCAAGGTGATTGTTCAACATGTTCAGGTCCAGGACCCACCGCTATCAAGGTGATTGTTCCAGCCCAAGACCCACCTCTAGCAAGGTGATTGTTCAAGTCCAGGACCCACCTCTAGCAAGGTGATTGTTCCAGCCCAAGACCCACCTCTAGCAAGGTGATTGTTTAAGTCCAGGACCCACGTCTAGTAGGCATGGCTGAAATGGTTGAGAGAATGTTCCAAGGGACAGAAATTGACTTACTACCCATTGTTTCTGTACTGGGGGCCGCCTGAAGCGATGAGGATGATGTCGATGTACTGGCCGGCTCTCGAGCCCCTCCCTTGTTGAGTCCAGGTACTTGTGCTCCAACAACTGCTGACACGTGTGGCGTTTGTCAGGGTCCATTACTAGACAACACTGTAAAAGACATATGCCTCTTTTAGGATACCATCAATATTAAGTTTGGTGACAGAATTAATGAAACATGCATGCACACACGCACACACACAGAAAGAGAGAGAGGTGATATAATAATCAGCCATGGGACTATGTGAAATCTTACCATTAAGAAATGGACTGCGATAGGATTTTGATCTTTAAACTTGGATTCAAGAGGTTCCTGTCAAGAAAAAACATACAACAAATTAGCAATACAGTTGGCTGTATAAGTGTGCAAAAGTTATCATAGTACAAGAGTGTGGCGGTCAAACCACCAGTAACTAACACAGATTTTTCTTGACTATTATTCACATGACATAAGTAAAACAAAGATAGAAATCATTGATTTGACCGAAATAAAACAAAGACGGAAGTCATCCATATGACAGAAGTACAACAAAGACAGAAGACATCCATATGACAGAAGTAAAAAAGGATAGAAGTCATCCAGATAACAGAAGTACAACAAAGACAGAAGACATCCATATGTCAGAAGTAAAACAAAGATGGAAGTCATCTGTATGACAGAAGTAAAACAAAGACAGAAGTCATCTGTATGACAGAAGTAAAACAAAGACAGAAGTCATCTGTATGACAGAAGTAAAACAAAGACAGAAGTCATCTGTATGACAGAAGTAAAACAAAGACAGAAGTCATCTGTATGACAGAAGTAAAACAAAGACAGAAGTCATCTGTATGACAGAAGTAAAACAAAGACGGAAGTCATCTGTATGACAGAAGTAAAATAAAGACAGAAGACATCCATATGACAGAAGTAAAAAAAAGATAGAAGTCATCCAGATAACAGAAGTACAACAAAGACAGAAGTCATCTGTATGACAGAAGTAAAACAACGACAAGAAGAAAAACAAAGACCAGGAGTAAAACAAAGACAAGAAGTCATCTAGATGACAGAAATAAAATAAAGATATGTCTACAACCGTGCCATGACAGATTAACCAACATGAAAGAATCAGCTGGTCCTTAACTTCTTTTGAGTGTCTATTATGTTTGTAGCTACTAAAAGTGATAGTAAAGTCACATCATGAAGATACTGTCTCCTACACTGTAAAGTCTGCAACTTTAGCCACTGAAAAATTGAGTTTGGTTCAGTCAAATCAGCTAGATATAGTCCACAACACAACAGTACAATCTACTGAAAATGAAGCAAAGAGCCCACTTGAGGCTTGTAGACTCCAAATCATTGGCACAGACAGTAACTATGAATGATGAGGGCGTTTAAACGAGTCTTGATTTTACTCTTGTACATTAGGATAACTTTGGAGTAGCCAACAAGGAACTTTATGAAGTTGCTGACAGATCCTGCATCATCATCTGTGACTCCTGGAACCATGCAGGAACATGACTCTGTACAGCAAACTGATATACCATAGTGAAAATGTAAAACTGACTTACCATGTGTGTTGGTTCAGGAATTGTCATCCCCTTGAAGAAACTGTTACTGTTAAAGATTTCTAAATGCCGAGGCAGTAAATCCCCTGGAATGAATTACAATAAACTGTCAATAACAACAACTGCACATGTAAACTGACATTTGAACACCAAAGAATTCCTATTAATTTTGATATGACAAAAAAAAAACCAAAAACATCGTAATAGAGAAACACAGTGTAATATGAAAACCAGTGTTCTAAATTATGGATGGAGGTAAAGAACCTCTTGTCTTAATGTCAATGGATTCAAATACTCTAGCAGAAAAGCTGAAGGGCCTTAGAACCCATGGATGGCACCTTAGTAGCTGATCTCTTTTTGTGGAGTGAAAATATAAATGAAAAGCTAATCCTGAGTAAACCTTGTCAAAACCTACCTAGACTTTTTCTGATGAGGAATAACTGGTCCACATCTGACCGTCCTGGCCACAAGGCTTCTCCGGTCATGAGTTCGGCCAGCACACAGCCGATGGCCCACACATCAACAGGGGGGGCCGTACTGGGTATCTCCGACTAGCAACTCTGGGGCTCTGTACCAACGTGTGGCAACATAGTCTGTGTACTCATCTCCGGGACCAGCTGAAAACACAAAATCCCAATTCAGCATCAAGTACTTCACAGTTGAGACACTCATCTCACAAACACCCAAACATGTAGAATGAGTGAGTATGGTTCTATGCTGCTTTTAGCCAGATTCCAGCAATACCATGGTGGGGTACACCAGAAATGGACTTCACACATTTTACCCATGAGGGGAATCAAACCTGGGTCTTCAGCATGATGGGCAGATGCTTTAACCAATAGGCTGCCAAACTGAAGACATCCCACCCCCCACAATTTCTGTGGCCTATTATTTCTTATCATGATGCTGTATGCCCCATCATTCTCAGTTAATAGAACATTTGATTTAACAGAATTCAATGATCTTCAGATTGAGCAGCCCTCAAATAGCTCAAAGACTAAACAAGCTGAAAGAAATGTTCTAATACAGTTAACTACTTACTGACTGTCCTTGCAAAACCAAAATCACATAGTTTGACGACCCCATGTCTGGTGATGAGGATGTTTTCTGGCTTTACATCTCTGTGAATAGCCTGCAATAAAACATACAACAGTATCACCATGTGACAGTCACTGTTGACGTCATAAAAGCTCTCTATAAGGGCTAATCCTTGATATTAACAATAAAATACTCATGACAGGGTACATATAGCAACTATGCATGCCAAGCTGTGATCGAAATCAACATGGAAAGTCACCACACTGTGTTAAAAAATAAAGATGAACTCATGGGGTACGCATGCATACATGATTTGAATCCAGTCTACACCATGCACCCTGGCAAACCCTGGTTTATCAAACCTTACTAAACCCCATTAGTTGGAATCCTGGTTAGAACAGGCTGTGTTGATGACTTAGACATTTGTGTGTAATCACATATTAATCACATGGTACTTTGCTCATGATATCAATCATGGATTTGTTCCGTCAAATACTGATTATTCATAGGGCGCTGTCATATAGCTGAGTGACGTGTTAAACAAACAAACAAAACCCCAAAAGACAATATCATACTAATTTAAGAATGACATGGACTAGTAAAGTGACAGCAGACATGGCTATGCTTGATAAGCAGATACCATTGCTTACTTATATTCAAAAGACTCTATTACCAACAACACTTAGAACTGCACTTAGTGAGAGATCACTAGCAGGAGGAGAATGTTTGGAAACCACAGTGAGTCTGTCATGTGTATTTGAATTTTGTATAAAATATTTAGAATAACATTTCTTTGATTCTTCAACATAACTGCAAACTGTTTCCCAAGCTGAAAGTGGTTATAAAAGTGTGTAGACTATTACTCAACCTCTTTCCAATCATGGACATTGATCTATTCTCAGGTACAATACAGTAGTTATCAGTTTCTTTTTGTCATCTTAATAACGAAAATGTCACATTTCAATAGAGTAACGTAAAATGTTTGCTTTGGTAGAGCTGTTGGCTCTACAGGTTATCTGTAAACTTCAGAAAAGAAACCACTGTCAATATTTCACAGGTATGTTTCTCTATCACCCTTGAATACACGGCCCTGATGAGTTGAGTGGTGACGTGTGCCTTATTCTTATCAGCTAATGAATCAGCCTGTATTCCTTACAGAAGTCAAATGAGCCCTTCTGTGTGTATGAACTTTGTGTGAACCTACTATTGCCCAACACTGTAGTAATGTGTAGAGCATGATGTCAAGCCAGACACATTACCATTGGTGCAATGTAAACAGAACAATCATTGGTCTGAGAACTTGGTGGTTAACCCATCACTAAAACAACCCTTTGCTTGATTTTGGTGGTTATAAAAACCAACTCATAGAAAAGTAGCCCTAATGTAGCCATGCACAAGGGACTTGATGGAAGAACCAGTGTATACAAAATTAGGGGTGGGTATTGCAGAGAATTTTCATATTGCGATGCAAAAGCATATATTGTGATATGTATTGCAATATATTGCATGAAGTATTTTTAAACAAAACACTACTTATAATCGAGTTAATGCTTGATTTATATAGCAAAACTCAACAAAATCACTATGCTTGATTAAGCTTTAAAAATAACTAATCTTGATAAAATAAAAATGTAAATAGTATTTGGCACAAATGAAACAAGGAAATAACCAAAGATTTCTGAGTGTTACGAAGCTTTCCCGAATGCAAGTCAAAATGCCAGATCAGCGTATCGTAATACATATCGATCTCATGTCTGAACCGGTCAATACCGGTAAACCAGTTATATTGTGCAGCCCTATACAAAATACAAATCTTTGAAGCATTGAAAATGAATGCTTCTGGTAACCCATAATTCTGCAAATAGCTTTTCCAAAATACCCACCAACACTAATTGTCATTATTTCCCACAAATATCAGCTTCTGCAGAAAGTGCAGTGAAACGGATATCAAATCAGTTGACTCAATCAGATGGTTTAACATTGTCATTTGAAACCACCGATTAATCAATAAGAATAAAAAATTATTGACACAGTAATAATAATAACAGAATAACTCACATTGTGTTGATGACAGAACTTGACAGCTTGAATCACTTGATATACAAGTTTTTTTGTTTCTTTTTCTTTTACCCTGGAAATGTAAAGAAAACATTGATAAATGAAATAAGTAGATACAATGACATCTTCAATTACCCAGCTATTATGCATACTCTGCCTCATTCTAAACTTATACATACCATACTTTTGTATTGAGCATAAATCGAATGATGTGATGATTCTAACAGCTCTCGAGTCAAATAACGTGCATCAGAAGCAAGACATTCTGTGCTAAATTAGTGACAAGTGGGATGGAGGTGAGGTGAGGTGAAATTGGGTTTTACATCATGCTTGAGAATATTTCGCTCATATGACGACGTGCATGCGTGTGTATGTGTATGTGCGGCTGCTTGTACTAGCCCAGACTGAAGCTGGTTTTATAGTGCTAGCCCACTGAGATATCATGCCGCAGTGAAGCATGAATACCCCACTCAGACACATTTTACTGACTCCGAGCCGACCAGTCCTTGTACCCATTAATGCCGAGCGCCAGGCAGGGACCACCAAGTACCATATTTTAACGTTTTTTGGTATGACGCGGTCAAGTGGGATGTAAAGAGTGAGGCCAAAGCTACAGCGGTCAGTGGGTCCATGGAGTTTAACACAATAAAAAGTAAATACTAGTACAATCCACTGGATAACAAATGATGTTTTACAACATGTATACTGTGGTATGGTTCCATCTTTTCTACCTATCTACTGATCTAAAAACAAGCTGACCAACATAATAATAATAATAAGTCCATTTGTATAGCGCCCTATATCCAATCACCAAGTGGTTGCTCATGGCGCTAACTATATACATATTTACAATAGGAGTTAATTTAGAAGTCATAGTGCTTCTTGAACAGGAAAGTTTTTAGGTTAGACTGGAAGCTGGCTATTGAGGGGGATTCTTTGAGAGACACGTGCAGATTGTTCCAGAGGATAGCTGACAAGTAGGAAAAACGTCGGTGTCCATATGTCTTCAGACGTGCATTTGGGATGATGAGCAGCGACTGATTGGCTGATCTCAGAGTCCTGGTTGGAACATACTCCCTTACAAGACTAGAGAGATAGGACGGAGCTGCATTGTTAAGACATCTGTAAGTCATGCTAAGTATTTTGTATTCTATATGGAACATGACCACCAGCATTCCAAGTTGGATCACTAACAGCTCGATGAAAGGGGCTCCTCATTGTTTGACACTAAGCAACAATGTCAAGGAGTCCATCGCTTACAACATTTAATGTTAAAACTCAATCAACGGACAAAATGCAGGGTCCCAAGATATAGTAGATCCCTTGTAGTTGTTCATTCAAACACTAAACAACCCACCTCCATGGGCCCTAGTATCTCCCGTGAATATGGACTACTGCCTGTATGTCCTGTATCAATAACAGTCACCAGCACTGACCATATGGACACTACGCTGAACATGTCAACGGAATTACAAAATTTTGTTTCAAAATGGATCTTGATAGACAGACATTAATTTTTTTATTGTTAATCATGTTAACTTTGAACTATTACCTACAACTTTTGTTTTTCACATGACTAGATTATTCCTGTTGCATTAGTTTACGTACACTGCAGAAATACACTCAGTGTCAAGAAGCCAAACACCACAATCATAGTAATACAGAAGTCTTTATGCGTATATATTGCAAGTATTTATGATGGATAAAAAAAACCAAAAGATGCCGCCACCAAAATCATACCAATAGAAAGTAACAGATAATGTTTGAACAGATGCATTGTATCAACATGATCAGCTGTTGGGTTTATTGTTACATTCGTGATTATTGCATCTATCTAGGGGTATGTGTGCACTTTAGGCCAGTCCCATAGAGCAAGTCCACTGAGATACTATGCCACAGTTTACCATGGATACCTAACTCAGACCCAGTATACTGACACTTGACGACCAGTCCTTGTTTTATCCCTTAACACCAACCAAGGTAACAACAAGTGCGATCTTTAAAAATACTAAGGTATGACGTGGGGTGAGGACTAAATTCAACTCTGTGGGCAGATGCTATAAGCATGAGACCAAGGTGGCAATCTGCATTGTATCGAATGCATTGTACAGATGTCTTGGGCCACTGCAACACTTTTATAAAGAGGATAAGGCCTTCTCTGATGCTATATATATATATATGGTACTGTAAGAAAACTAAACATGATACACTTTACACATATTTGTACTGAACTAGCATTGATTTCTTTTCCCATATATAACCATACCAGACAACTTCACACCACACCCAATTAGTAATGGGACACATATTAAGTAAATCTACACATTGATTATTTGGGATAGATACCACTAGTTAAAATATAAGAGACTAGTTATTTAATGTTAAAATGTAGAGATTTCACATAACCCACTTATGTGAGATATACTGTGGACTAGCTGGACTTGATTAAAGGTTTCTACCCATGAGGGTCACCAAAAAAATGTTCCAAAATATCAGTAATTCAGAAATATCAATGTTTGGTCAGGGGCTAGTATGGTATTATGCATTCTGACACCTTTATTTGGCAGTAAGAATGTATAAAGTGCTGAATATGATATTATCACAAATTCATACACAATATTAATAGTAAATAGTACACTTTTTTGACAATATATCATCGCTTAAGTTTGTGGTCAATATCAGCATGATAGAATCAGCTGTTAAATCTACAATGAGTATGTTTTAGAGTGCAATGTGTTTGGTATTTCCGGGTTCATGTGCAGTAAAATAATATGGCAAATATAGTATATACACGTTTGTGGGCTTCAATTCACTGAATCAATGATCTTGATTTTTTTTTGTGTTTAATCGAAAATACAGTTCAGAAGGTCTTGAATACTCAATACAAATCAAGAGCTGACAATTACCCAAACATGTGAGTGAACTGTAAAAGCCTATGCAACCTGGTAACAGTAACATGTAATTGAGTGTCTCTTGTGTCTCCTTACCCTCTAGGGTTCCTCTCCAGCTCCCCCCAAGAGTGTGTCATCAACATACTCGAACACCAGGTGAAGTTTCTTCTTTCTCCGGAACACCTCCAGCAATGATACTAAATTTTCGTGTTTCAATTGCTGAAAGACAATAGGTAAATAATATTTTAGCAAATCTGATATGAAATATTACCAAGATCTTTCACACAGAGCATGTCCAGTGAAAACAATGCAGTTAGCTTTATCAATACAATTATGGATGATTATGAAAGGACATCTGTCATGTCAGTTGAAATCGATTATGTACATAGTATGCAATGTCTATGAGGATAACCAATAAGTCACTGATTTTCATTAGTAAATAAACCAATATGTAATCAGCTGATGACACTGACGATATTAACGTGGTGTCATACTTATTCCATAAAGATCAATGATAGGAAGAATATGAAAAGGTTAGTTGTCAGCGGTGTAAACATTTGTATTTCAAAGTTTCCACTAATTCATAATCTGAAATTTCAAGGGAGCCAAAAACGTCTAACTGGGATAGCATGCTTCATTCTCTGGTTATGCTTTATCCACCAATCCGGAGAGGTGATGTGCACTGTATCAAATACAATTCATTCCTTTTCAGTTGTTCATGCATATAACATATGTTTACAAAGTTATAAACCAACTTTACATCTATATGGGATTATGGTTACCATGGTTACACAAATCCTGTAAACCATGCTGTTTCTGACAAACTTGTATAAAAGGGACAGTACCATCAACAGTTCTGAAGCATTGTTTCTAAACAGCAGTCAATATACCCCCTGGCGTCTGCTCGCCTTACATTGAACTAGAAGTTCTGCTCAAGTGACCACACCACAAGAGCAGACGACAGGCTTGTAATGCATGTAATGTGACCAGGCTATTCTCCTGTTTGTAAACAAACACTTCTTCTCAAAGAATATTAAGCATTTCATAACATGCTTATCTAAATGTTTAGACTCGTCCAAAATGATTTGTTTGTTTGTTGTTTAATGCCACACTCAGCAATGTTCAAGCTAATTATGGTGGAGGTCTGTAAATAATCTAAGTCCTGACCAGACAATCTGGTGATCAACATCATGAGCATCAATCTGTGCAATTGGGATATGGTGACATGTGCAGGGGTTGGGAAAGACAGGGGCCATGGGCCATTTTGCACATTAGAATAAAAAATGGCCCATTAAAATTTGGAAGTTTAGTATTGATACAAGGGCAGTGGCCCATACTAAATTGAGAAAATGGCTAATAATCCTGAAAATGGCCCATTGTCAATGTTCTCTATCCCAATCCCTGCATGTGTCAACCAATCAGTGAGTCTGTCCACCTGATCCTGTTAGTCGCCTCTTATGACAAGCACAGGTTGCTGAAAACCCATTTTAATGCAGATCTTCACCCGGTTCATCAGCAGGAAAAACACACGTATAGACTCTGTAACATCTTCCAACATGACCAGAGGTACTAAGCTGAGTGTGGCATTGCTGAGAACTTGGGGTAGGAATAGTATATTAGGAATTGGCATCCATGTTTATCAGTTGTGCAAACCTAACTATACATTCATAATGGGAACTGGACAATCCATACCCACAGAGATTCTTACCCAAAACCTTTCGAAAGACTCATACTCAAATACTGTACCATCTCGTACCAGACTTATACTCAAAAAGACGAATCTGTACCCTATGAAAATACATGATTTGAAGTGAATGTTTCAACTAGTTCAACTACATCAATGACCTCAAGCTATACAATGACCCTGAAATGATGTTTGAGATGGGGGATGTTGTAGTGACATGGGTGTTATTATGAACCACTGAAACAGTGAAAGCTCAAAACCTGAAAACATGTTAAGTGATTTCGTTGCTCTTCGAAAAACTGCTCAGCCACAGCATATTGTTTAACTTTAATGGATTAAACATGCGCTTGACTAAGACTTTGGTTGACTTGTGTTTCGTGTAACATATGAATAGTCCAATCACTGAAAAATATATATCAAATTTTAATATACAGGTTTATGGAAAGAGTCATCTGAATTTGGGTACAGGTCAAACAGAAATGGTAGATATGCTCCAAAACAGGTACGAGTCTGACGAGGGCTTCTGGTACTTTCATTGGGTATGAAACTCTGTGGTTATGGTTTGACTAGTAATGTAGCAGTATGTATACAGTACACTGTATGCAATATGATAGTAAGATTATAAGTTTGACAGTTTGGTTACCTTTAACATCCGCACTTCCCTCAATGCAATCTTTCGGATCTGAGGGTCATCTTCAGACTCCACGAATTTTTTAATGGCCACCAATTGTCCAGTTTCTCTGTGACGACACTTGAAAACAACACCATACGAACCCTCTCCAATCTTCATAATTCTTTCATACTTATCCATTTCTGATTTCTTTGTAGACTAGAAAATTCAAACGGAAAATTTGGCACTTATTCACAATAAATAGCTGATTCAATATAATGAGCACGATGAATATATCACCTACGATTATGAATCATTCATTGACAAACTCTTTCCCCACTTGTACGGTGGATTCCTTGTTCATAAATCCAGTGACAGGGCAGGTTAATAAAATATCCGGTATGTCTTCAATCAGCATTTCCACAGAGTGTAAGTGTTCCTTACTGGAAGAATGATTATTATCCCGATGTTGTTTCCTGGTGATTCTTCTGTTTTAATGGTGGCATGTCTAGTTTCTTGGTGAGAAATAGCCTTGATATCCAGCCGTTCAATATACAATGACAGCGCTCAAGAACATATCAAAACATATCCTCTTATACACATCAAATACATCTAAAATAAATAACATACAGCCCTAATAAACAATTACACTTTAGGAAAATGAATGTTAAACCTGTGTTACACAATAAGGCGAAATGCCGCCTCGCATTCTACATTTTCAACACGATATGGAAGCCATTAGGAGAAATTCCGTCAACAACATCCGCCATTTTGTATTTGTAATTATTGTCTCAATGCGCAAACAATATATAACGTGACCACTGTTATGTATAATAGCACGGGGTCACATTATTCAGAGAACAGTATTTGGCAATATTTCTCGATATCACAATGAACCCTCCCAAATTAATCTTTACAGTGTTTGATAATATTGGAACTACATTTCGTAGCGTCAGGTGAAAAGAGTGCGGAGGTTTCTGTTTGTTGTCAAAAGGTCGTCACCTTAGCAACGTTATGCTAAACGTGAAAGGCCACAATTGCTATCAGTCATCAGCGAGCATTTGTGATAGTCATTGTACCATTGTTAACTGTGAACGTATCACGATATACAGACCTAAATTGTTTTCGATAGAATGTCTAGGAGGTTGTTTTCAGTTAATATCGGATACTCGAAAAAATGTTAAATAACGCGCAGACAGCTGCCTTGCTACTCCAGATTGACGTTTATGATTGTGATGACCAAACAACGAAAACAAATTCAGTCTTTTGTTGATTAATACTATCATACTGATTTTATGAAACTCGTGTCAAAATTCATCTTTTATCTAGTACCGGAGTGAGTGAGTTTATTTTTACGCCACTTTTAGCATTATTCCAGCAATATCACGGCGGGGGACACCAGAAATGGGCTTCACGCATTGTGCCCATGTGGGGAATCGAACCCAGGCCTTCGGCGTGACGAGCGAACGCTTTAACCACTTGGCTACCCTACCGCCCCTTCTAGTACAGGAATTTCTTTCAATACAAATTATGATTTCTCAAATAATTTAATCAGAATTACGTCAGATGACGTCATGATAGTTGTGAGTGTGTTACACTTTGTTGCCATTGTTTGCTGTTTTACATCGTACTCAGCAATATTCCATCTTCATGACGGAGGTATGAATTAAGTTATAGAGTGACATTGACATCATGAGCATCGATCTACGAAATTGGGACACGATTATCTAATACAACAACCAAATCTGACCAAATCTTACGACAAGCATGGGCTTCATAAGATCAATTCTAACCCGGATTTTTTTCATAGGTCGTACTTAACATGCAGCAACTGGTAACACCCCCAAAAGCGCAATTTGGTGTAGTCGAGTACAGTTGACTTGTGGGAGACACAGCTTCATTTCCCAAAACATGTCAGTTGTTCGTTTTCGCCTTACTCTAGAGGGAAAATAATAATACTCAACAGGAAAACACAGACACATTATTTGTGTTAAAATGATACAAGAACGGTGTATTCCTAAGTTTGTCCACTATTGTCCTCACGTTGCTCAAATATTTTGATAGCAATTGTTTTCAAAACACCGAATCGGGCTTTTTTAAATGAAAAATATATTTGCCAAATTTCACTTGTCAAGATTTATCAGTTGTATAAATTATTCAGTATTAGTATTGCTTTGACTTTGACTAAAATATTGTACCCAAAAAGTAAACAAAATCAACAAAATCTGTCCTTGATGAAAAATGACGACCACGTCTCTACTAATACCGAACATGAATAGTTTTTATGCCCGCGTATACCCTCAGCCTACAGTTTATTTACACTTCTCACATCTGGAACCAGTTCTCGGTTATTAAACCCCGGACTATTGAGTCCGTGGAATCAAAACTCCTGTCTGAAATATTACCCGACACGACTTTACACTCTTTTAATTCCCACAGATCATTGATTAATTTCAAATGCAAGGACCCTGGAGCCATTTTCATTCAAGGTAACACCAATTCCTATTTCAACAAATATCTGCCCTAAATGGGAGCAACGACCCTCTAAATGGTTCTTTTGTAAACCGGGCTTTGAAGCAAAATGTTTGCATGGAGGGTAGGAGTGATAGGCTCTTAAGTTATGAAACCGATATATGCGATAGCACCAAATGGTGGTGAACTCACAAGGATGTATTTACCTCCCTGCTTGAAGACGTCTGGATGAAGGGTTACACATATATGTAATTATCGGGATCATACTTGCCCCACATATTTCCTCTGACAGCGAGATGTCACGTGCGGCATTACAAGGCTGTTGTACGCCTTACGAAGGCACTGGAGTGTAAGGTATGCTCTCAGGCCTTCTTGTAATCTATGCTTGAGGGTATGAAATCAATTATCCCTGTGATGATGCCATGTGTACGTATTGAAATGACACGTTACGTGTAAATAGTTACAATGACATGTAGGGACGGTGGGGTAGCCTAGTGGTTACAGCGGTCGCTCGTCACGCCAAAGACCCGGGTTCGATTCCCCACATGGGCACAATGCGTGAAGCCCATTTCAGGTGTCCCCTGCCGTGATATTGCTGGGATATTGATAAAAAGCGTCGTAAAACTAAAACTCACTCACTCACTACAATGACATGTCATTAAAGGATTTTTAGAAATATAACGAATACTATATATGTATATGAAGCACGCAGTGCTGAATCATATGGATACGCTCACGCGCGCACACACACACACACACACACACACACACACACACACACAAACAAACAAAACAAAAAAACCAAGCATCTACAACCTGTCTCAATGTCAGAACGTTATTCACAGTTATTAACCCAAGTTGTCTAAATTCATACGGACATTAATGGCTTTCAATTATCATTTTTTCCGACGTTTTAATGTTAGTTTTTACGTAGCGAGTGTCCGAATTCTTGTATTTACCGATGGAGTGGATGCGTAAAACATTAGCGTATTTCTAAAGCGTATTTCTTAAAATTACCCTGACGTTCACGTGAGTGTAATCTATCACCCATTTGAGTGTGTTTGGATTTCCCTTTTAGAAACAACTACTGATCTTGCCTATCACGACCACCGTCTGAGAAAGGTGAGGTGAAATTGGGTTTAACGTCGTGCTTAAGAATATTTCGCTCATATGACGACCTGCATGCGTGTGTATATGTATGTGCGGCTGCTTGTACTAGCCCAGACTGAAGCTGGTTTTATAGTGCTAGCCCACTGAGATATCATGCCGCAGTGAAGCATGAATACCCCGCTCAGACACGTTATACTGACTCCGAGCCGACCAGTCCTTGATGTACCCATTAATGCCGAGGTCCAGGCAGGGACCAACAAGTACCATAGTTTAACGTCTTTTGGTATGACGCGGTCGGGGATCGAACCCGCGACCTTCCGCTCTCCGGGCGGACGCTCTAACCACTACACCACGGAGGCGGTCGTCTGAGAAAAGAACAATTGCTCAATGACGTCAGCAATTACCATCTTTGACGTCGTTTATACTGTGACGTCATTCTGACCTTACGTCACAATAGATTAGAATGACGTCAACAATGACGTCCTCGCCAACACACTGATGCTTTGCCATCAGTTTGACGTCATCGTTACAATGACGTCACAATCAAATGACATCACTAATACCTCTGTCATTGAGGCTGATTAGATGTTATTTTACACTAAAGCTACGTCATATTACTGTTCGGTTTTAAATGACATTTAGCAGCGTTCAACCAACTATAATCACTTCCAAAATGTAAACACAATAGGATTATCTCCTAATTAATGTAATATCATTCTCTTGTCTTCTGATGCCCGATATATCAACACTTTTCGAATAAGTCGTGAGACATTTTCGAGCTTGTCTTGATATATACTCATGCCAATAATGGTTGTCACCCCCTTATTTTTTTTTAATTGGAGAGGGGTTTTTGTGAGGTGTGTGGGGTTGGGGAGAGGGGTGAGAACCATTATTGGCATGAGTATATTTGATATCAAAACACACGAGGGAAAGAGTCTCTATTTAATACACATTTTAAGAGAACTGGTTCTAGATCTTAGCGTAATGACGCTATGCACTTATTGAAAATGCCACTGTTCGCCTTGACCCTTGTTTATTACAACGTGTCTATGTATATAGTATATACACAACTGAATATATAGCAACCTGTGTATGAGATGAAAATTATCGTAAAACAATAAATTCTTACATTGGAACAAAATTTGGAGAGACGGAAGTTAATGTGTAGGGGCTCAATGATAGCAAAGAGGCATTAGAATTGCGCGAATGTACCTTGAACCGTAAACAAAGATATGCATAAATAATCAGTTATCACACAAGTCATACTTGAGAAAACCGTCGAAGGGCAATGTAAATGTTGATACCACGACGCTGAGGAATCCAGGTTAGAACTGGCCACCGAAAACTAGGGCTTCAAAGTTTACTCCAGTACGCCTGACCTTGTACATTTCGGTAAAGCATCCAGTGCTTGTCTTTTCAGGTGATGACTAAATGGCTCGAATGGCCATTCGCGGACTTGTTGCCACTCTCGCTACAGAGCTTACAGTAGGAAGGGTCACAAGTGGCCCAGTCCATTATGGTACCACGATTCGTTTTGCACAGTTGCGTCCCTTAGTTGTGCCAGAACATCATCATTGTAAGTTCCAATCCTAGATTCTCCTCGACTTTGATCATTAGATTGTCGGCACCACGCTCAT